GGGCGGGCAAGGTGGGCAAGGACAGCAGGGGCAAGGAAATATGGGGAACATGAATATAAACATGAACAACTCAAATAACCCAAATGACTCTTATCATGGCTCATCAATGAGTAATGGGAACAATGGCCCTTTTGGGCCCATAGGCACAACAGTTGCATCAGGCCTTAACCTTGGACAGGGTTTAGGGGGACCAACATCTCCTCAGCGACAGGTGGACCGATTCAACTCAGAACCCCCATTTGATCCCTTTCGTCGACAGTCGACAGAGATGGGGGCGAGCCTTCCGCTGAACAGTAACTCTTTCGGGCTGGGGACCCCTTTAAGGAAGAGCCCCTCTCCAGGAGAGCTTCCTCCAGGAGCACCAGAAGGTAGCAAGAAAGTTGAGATGGAGGTTGGTGAGCACATTGTTGGCGCTATCTTGGGCCCCGGGGGAAAGTCCCTGGTAGAAATACAGCACATGTCCGGCACCACAATACAAATCTCCAAGAAGGGTAACTATGCACCTGGTACTCGTAACCGCATTGTCACCATCACGGGTCTACCTTCAGGCATCACAACGGCGCAGTTTCTCATTGAACAACGTATCTCTGATGAAGAGGGCAAGCGTGCCCGCCAGAATGCCATTATAGGGGTCATGCCTTAAATCACCCACTTTTCATTTCTTCCATTTCATCCATAGTTAATTTGACCTCTGTCGGGGGCTTGAAATAGATTTGCGCACACCATTTCCTCTTGCCCATCTAGTTATAGTGATGAGTGTTTACATGTTTGGCGAGTCTTTTTATATGAATTAAAAGAATTTCAAGCTCCACATCTGTCATCAAAAACTTAGGTGCTTTTCAGTAGACCATGCAGGATTATATATGTATATATATATATGTATGTAAATCCATTGCTTGGATTATTCATTATAAAGTGATCTGATACATTTTTTTTTTTTTTCCTCATTCTTTTATAACTGACAAGCACCTTGCATTTACAGTATAGGTCACAGCAGTTCATTTCTTTCTTCAAAATCCTGTGTTCAAATGTCACCCCATAATCAGGCATAACCATTACATACGTTTCATAATTGACCATTTCTATTCTTAAATTTCCCCAGTCACCAACTACAGTTGTTTGCCAGCATTATGCACTATGTTTGTATAGAAGAGAGCAACTGTGAGTAACCATTGTTCATTGTCCAAATATGTACAGATGAATCATAGTTGTGTGAAGGCAAGTAGTATACATGAATTTGTCATTTTTAAAATTCATTTCATTGTGCAATGGATGCTGCTGAGTTAACCTTAAAGTGGATGTTGCCTGGGGCTACAATACTTCACAGTTGGTGGTTCTGCTTACAGGAAGCTGATCCTCATGCCCAGCGCTATATGACCGCATTTCTAATCCAGACATGTTGCTTTATTTTGTTTACTTTGTTACAATTTATATTTATATTGCTTGGTTTTTCACTTGAGAGTTCAGTAGTTTTGAAACTGTTCTCTGGTTCTGCTTTTAGGTTCATTAAGGCAAAATTGCTTTGTTTAAAGTTGGCAATTATGTCTGGATTCAAATGACTCACAACCATCTCTTTGTCTGCGGTCAGAAAACATCCTACATAGCAATTCATATCATGTGGTATGAATGATGGCAACTTGTGACTCATGTTGAGTTTGATTATGCTGCTGCCAGGGTTTCTACCTGGACTAGGCTACACTGGGAGAGGTAGTACAGGTTTCCCAGAGAGAGACCTCTTTGGTATCACTGATAACATGTTTTAGGTCCCTTTTTGTGAGAACATTGTACTAGGGTGGGCAGTAACAGGTGTTATGAAGCTAGAGTTAACGAGGGCGGGAAGCCGCACGGGCCTCATAGATATCCCATACTTAATAGCACCCTCATTAAGTGGCTAAGTTTGAAAAAAAATTGCAATTAAAGTGTATTGTGTGCATGTAGATTAATTTTCCCTGGTAATAAACTTATAAGTTCCTTATAAAAGTAAGTCATAGACTGCCATTTGTTAAATCTTTTAGAAGATTTATTAGGATTTTTTCTTTAAAGTTTCTCTGAACCAGGGGATAGCCAAAAACATTTTATCATGCATCTTTCCTCATTAAATATCATAGCTCTACAAACCTTGTAAAAAATTGGCAATAAATGTGTATCCATTAGCGGCCAAGACTTTCCATATCAGCCTTTATCAACCAGTTTCACCGCACCAAACTGACATCCCAGCGCCCTGAAAGTCTTGAACATGTGACCTTCAGGGCGCAGGCAACCAAACCTTCATCATGCATTCTATTAAGTCACGCCTCATGACACTGGAAGCACCGCCAGATGACAAAGTCAGTTTGTTGCGGCATGCTTATGACAACATGTGACCGACGTACATTGACTCCATCTCCTCCTGCAATATCGTTGAAGCTGTCACAGTAAGTAGAGTAAGAATCCCAGTACTAGGGAAGCAAGCTTATGACAACTGACTAGAGTCAAAAGGTGGTAAAACACGGTTAGGGAAGGTCCAATGCTGCAGGTGATCATTTCACCCACATATATGCATATCAGGAAGGTTGGGTGGGCCTGGGATTGGGTTGGGATCAGGACATTCATTAGCTTGTAGCATTCATTTTCCTTCAGTGATATGCTATATATTGACTTATAATGGTAATAATGTCTCACAGGAATCCTTCGAGTGATGCACAGCACCCCAAGTAATTATGACGTTCTTTTCTCTCCCGTTTCCATAACTAGATAATGGGTGACCCCAATGTCTTGAATGATGATTAAGCTGGTGTGTATGTGTGGAGCTGACAGTGCCAGGCTGTGGTGGTGGCGGCGGCAGGAGGGTGAGAGACTCCACGCAGGCTCGGCACTCCTCTCCACACAGGTAGTGATTCTGCCTCACTCCACCTCCACCCCCACACTCCATCTCCACCCCTCCCTCCCTAATCTCACTTACCTCTGGCCTCATGTCTATATTGTGCCGGCCTCTTGTGCCTGGTGCTCACCCCTGACCTCTCTTTAATATCCTTGTCAGGGAGTAATGTGGTCTCCGGAAGTGAACGTCTCACAATTTTTGATGTGTAGCTTGCTCGTAAGGGATGCTCCTATGAATCTTCATAAATTACATGAAAAAAGTATGCATTCTTTGTAAGATTTTCATTAACTTGAAAATGAAAGAAAACAAAAATAGAAAAAAAGAAAGAAAAAAAAACAACTCAGGGCTTTTTATTTTTGTGTACAGGGAACGTCTTCAGGGAGCGATCTGGTTAAAGAGGTTGAACTTCTTGTGGCTTGAAATTTCTGTTCCAACTTTGATATTAATAGGAAACAGGATCCAAGAATATTTTATGTAGCTACTTTTGCAATTGCTGGTCATGGGTGAAACAGTGGGCCAAAAGGTCATTTACATTTGGTCAGGGGTTTTATTGGGTCATGCTGGGTAGCATCACAAGTGGAAAAAAAGGGACGAAAAAATGAATGATATAAACATTGTGAGATACTGTATAGACTTGACTTATTCTTTATTATGTTTATTATTATTATTATTATTATTATTTTTTGCTTGCAGTTCTTATTGTCCTCTGGAAAATCCAGTGTACAGTTACTGATGAAAAGGTGAAAATATGTACATCTATATAGTGATGCTATCAGGTGTGTGTTTCATCATCATTTATTCACACATTCTCCCTGTTTCTTGTGATACATCATTAAATTGAATTACATAAGACATCATTCTTTGATATGCTGACATTTTTAGTCATTCATATATTGTACTAAAGGAAAATGCTCGCCGTCTTAAAAAGATGGACTTTGTAACAGTTCATAGAACAAACTCTTTCCATTGCTTTGTTTATATATATTTTGACTATTTATTTATTTATTATTTTTCCTAAAGAAATGAAAAAATGCAACTTGTGGGAACCTTTTGAAATGTTTTAGAAGTCTTATATTGTTTGCCATATACTGAAAGTCAAGAATTGATTTTCTTTTCCTTGACAAGAGGGAGAACAACCAAATTCATAGATGCCAACATTTTACAGTTTTATCAGGTTTCGTCATGTGTGGTCACCATCTACACACAGGCATTGTGGCATGCTGGGTGTGAAGAGGTTTGGTGCTGCTGGGCATTGCTTGAGTGGAATGAGGATGAAAGCTGGTAACACTTGAGTACAGGTCATGTTGGAGGTGCTGTCGTGTGCCCAGCCAAATGGATCTCGGATATTGAAATTTTGCCGCTGGTAGGAAAGGAAGATCCTTCTGGGAATGGATATAGATCTAGTGAGAAACATATTGTGTATAGAAGGAAGAAATATATGTTGTTGTCTTTCTTTTATTAATCTACATCCTGTTTCTTCTACTTGGTTATTTCTTTGGTTGGATATACTTGGTCTGGTCTTTATTTTTTACAGATTAAAAGCAGTAAATTAATGTAAAGCTGTGATTGCATGACAATGCCCATTAAGGTCATAAGGAGGGTATCCATGCAATAGATTGAGTTTTGAAGCTTTTTTTGTCTGTATATATTCTAAATTTGTCTTAAAACACCATTAATGTGGTGAAATTTGCGCCTTTAACATTTATTACAAATGTTTTTTTTTATTTAATATCATTAAAGAGAATAGTGCATTCATAGAAAACTGAACAGTTTTTTATGTAATGAAGTCTTGGTATATAGTCTTGGTTGGTAATAGAAGTTTTTGAGTATTCGATTTCAAGTTGATTGGATAACTTGCAGTTTACAGTCTCTAATCTCAAGATGGTTTGGTTGTAAGTTACAGCGAGTATTGGTATTGATTTTCTCTAAGAATTGCCGTATATTACGAGCTTATTTCAGAAAGTGTTTTCTTTAATGCATATTCTATGTTCCTTCAATAGCTTGAGTAAAGGCTTGGTACAAGAATCACAAAAAAAAAATTCTAGCATTCTTTATAATGAGTGTGTTCAATTGATTTTCATTTCCCATCTGAATAAGTTAAACCATGATCCAGTTAATTGATTAATTGTTTTAAAGGAGAGCTGTAATGCAGTTATGATATTTTTCATATTCTGAAGTTTATCGTATGTTAGAACTCTCCAAATACCATCAAGAAATTGTTGATAAGAAATTGGTAGAATGTATTTATAGATTTCTTCAATATTGATGGGTGAATATTATGAAAATCTCTAATACATGTTTAACCATATACCATACCAAGAATAGAACATGCATAATAACATACCATTTACTCAAAATATACTAGCATAAACATGAACTTTTAACCTTATTTTGGGGGAACCTTTATGAAATATATATGGGATACTGTCGGTGACCTTCAATCTATATTGTACAACGAAAGTGCTGTAGCCTGAAGTTTGGAGATAAACTGGTAAGTAGTTTTTTTTACTCCTTCGGCTACAAGAAGTTTATCGTAGAGTAAATATTTCACATTCAGTATTTGTGGGTGGAGGGAAATAGAATGTGACTCAAAGTTTGGTGAAGGAAATTAACTTAAAAGTTTAAGGGAAATTTCAGCGTTTTTTCAGTGTGAAAACGCTGCAGACATCCATTTAACAACTACATGGACATGCACCGACACTGTTTCACTATCATTCACACTAACTTACGATTTCCCTCTTCATTTTTTCTCCTAATTTATTTAAAGGTTTTAGAAATATTGTTTTAAATTCACTTCCACCTCCATTAGGTCTTCAACGATCGAGAACATTCATATGATAAATGTTTTAGAGAATGGTCAGGACAGAGCAGTTCATCATTTTTTTTTTTTGTTATGATTTGTAACACGGACACACGTTAACAATCTCCCTCACTTAACTCATGAAATCAGCACGTAAACATCACGCATCGAGTTGTTAGCACCCTCTCTAAGAAGGGCACATTCTTTGATCATCCTTAGGCAACGGAGTATGTTGATGAGCACATTGTTTATCTACTGAGGTGCATAAGGAATATGATGTATCAAATGTTGATTTTTTTGGTTAAATATATATTTTATATTGAATTCAAAGTTTTCTATATCCTGCTGTCTGTGTGTTCTCGCTGAATTTGAAATATATAAATTGTGAATTAGGAATGTGTATGTTGAAGCATAGATGATCCTTACTAGTTATTCTTCAATGCAGTGAAAAAGAAAAGTTACAATTAGAGTATTGGTTGTGATTATTTTTGTGACAAATAGTGTACAGTGATGGACAGAAGTCATCACCCCCAGTGCGTTGCAAAACAATTATCGTTTTCTCTTATTGTAGCAACGCATACATAATTGACAATTAATTTGTATTTTAACGAGAGCTTTGAGAAATGAGGGAATAGTACAACATTTGGGAAACCGTGTGTCTCGTTCTGTCTGTAGCAGCGATGTGGTAAAGGTTGTTTATTTGATTTTAGTTCAATTTTCTTCGGGGAAGGGAAAAGCAATATTTTTAAAAATTATTCACTTGTGGTTTTGTAGAGTAAAATCTTTGTGGAGGAAGAATGAAAACGTTATTTTTTATGATATACATATGATTTAATAGAAGACACTGCTGATACGACCAGCTGTCAGTATAAGAAAATAACTAAAATCATCACATGCATATTTTCATAAGGATAGTGGGAGTTTTTGCAACAAATACCTTGATTTCAGATGATCGATTATAAATTTACTTGGTAAAGGCAAGGGAAATCGAGCTTCCGTGCAAAATATTTGAATAATGTAACTCATTTCTAAATAAAGCAGTCGGATAATTCGACTCTGGTTGCACTAAGAAGCATTGGTTGTGAAGTAGTTTACAAAGAAATATTACTAAATTTCGCCATCAGATAATTGGTGAAATGTAATTTTAGGTGAATGAAAGCGCAAGCTAAGAATTCCAGGTAATTATTGACCTGTCTTGTATGATAGGTTAGCGAAGATTATTAATTATCACCAAAAATAACGAACAAGAAATAAAAATGATTAGTATGTGGGAAGAAAATGGGCAAAATAATATAAGCGTTGAAAAGACAAAAAATATGTTCAAGAGACTTTGTAAAGAAGTATTTTAGGAGAATAATAAAATGAGAAAAACAATTAGAGGTCGACAAGTAATATATAATTACTAGTTTCATTATCCTAGTGCAGAATGGCAGCAGCAAGGAAGTGATAGCAAGGATTTAAGAAATAAAACAATTTGTATGTATTTATTATGAAAAGTGGTTCACTAAAGCGGTAAGTATCCCCTAATAATGAGAGGTAAATGACAAAACTATAATTTATCGTCTATATAGCAACGAGGTCTTTTATGGAACATTTTCAAAGTTGACAGACAAAATTTATATTTTATATATTGAACTAAGAATATAACGAAATCTTTTATAGCCTGCCCCTACTAAAAAGTAATATTACCCGTGCATTGAATTTTATACTTAATATGTGCAGTTAATTTTTTTTATGCGAATCGAGGCAGATTTTAGCACTAGAATATAGTTGTAGGTGAAAGCGCAAGAAAATGCGTTTTAAATGGAATCGTGACATACTGCTGCACACATGCACACGTTAAATCCCACATGCGCGCGCGCACAAAATTCATTCCTACATACGAGCGCGCGCGAGCACAATTCACTCCTACATACACACGCACACAAATCTCGCATACACGCGTGCGCTGGCTTTAAATATTTTGGAAGAGCATCAAGGGATGTTAACTCAGAGCCGAGGAACTGGAGGTATAGGTGAAAAACACGTAAAAAAAAATCAATTTTATTTAATTTATATATAGAGGAAGCTACATGATATCCCGTGGCCTTTCCGTATTAATCGCCGGTTAAAAGCGCTAGCCACTAAAATGCATAAATCCCCGAATACCTATCTCGTAGAGCAATACAAAATAGGTCCTCTCTGTTCCTCTCGCTGCAATCAATTGGCCGAGAGGCGGGAATTCGTGGGTCCTCAGTGATATTTAAACATTTATTTCAAATGGTTATTGGTTTTACTATATATATATACACACACATAGGGAGATCATTTGACAATATCAAGATATTTTGCTGTATATTGCTGAGACGATGGTTTAAAATATATCTCGATAGGTGGCGCCCATTCTCTCAGCGAAAACGACGACAGGGGGTGGTCTAACTAAAAATCGATGGCCCTCACGAGGACACTACAGCTCCCTCCCCAGCATGGAAAATCATCTGTCCACAGGTGTCGATTCTGATACAGGCTGCAACACAAAGACAAGATAGGCATACACATCTGTGAAAGAAAACGAGTTTAGATTCAGTCATGCATTAACCTGGGTAACCCTAGTTCCCTGCGGTTAACCCTAGGCCACGAAATACCCTGGAGAAAACCTTACAGATCGTAACATAAAATTTAAGAATTTAGATACACTATAAACATGACAACTTACTACGTGCGGACACTGACAATAAAATAAATTAGATTGACACTAAAAGCAAACGTAAATCAGAATAAAACAAAAAGTTACAAAATACTAACGTACACTTAATAGAAGTGCAGGTAACAATATAAAACTGAACATAAAATCAAATATCACAAAGATACCAAAGTAAACCCACCTGCGACCTGGATCTGTTGATACATTCACTCTCATTCACACCTTGCTCACGCCATAGACGTAATATAACCTTAGCTGTTAATACGCTGCCGAGGAAACGGAATAACGAGGAAAAGTGTAGTTCCGATGGAAGAACAAAAAGCTTCAGTTGGCTTGCATGTACTCGAGCCTTACGTCGGTGGCCTGGAGCTCCAATTCGTCGAAAGCGACGGGTCCCAATTTCTTAGTGATGCGACATGGGCCGATCCACCGGTCCTGCAGAGCCCCTCACGGTCCTAGAACCTTCCTCATCACTAGTGAACCCTCTTCGAAAGCCGTCGCTGATTTTGCTCCTTTATCTAGAGTCTGCTTGTTAGTTTCATGAACTTACTGGGAGAATTCTGCTAGGCGCCGAGCATCAGTGAGTCGTTGCACCGTCAAATCTTCATCGACCACCTGCGCGTTGGTCGTGAACAGAGATGAGGGTCCTCGGTACCGTCAAATAGGTAGCATTGCCTTGTATAACAACGAGATGGAAGTCTGGTGGCATGTCTCGTGTCAAATTTGCTGGAACAAAGCATCCTGACTGGGCTGGGATCACAATTCGTTCAGCAGCATGCACAGGGGAAATGCGTTGGAATTTCATGCCACACTTATCATGCACTTCTTCAGCTGGGGCTTCGTGTAGACATATTGCTTCCTCACCGACATATGTAATCTGATGATGGTGCCCATCTATTTCTGATAAACTAGACGTCGGTGAATGTACGAGTCGAAATGAAAGGCGATGAAGCAGATCTATACCCAAGAGAACGTCTCCCGGTTTAGTAAACTCCCGTCGAAACACAAGCTCGATGGGTCAAGCACAAAGTCCGGGTGAAGACTGAAGGTCAAATCAGCCTCAGCTACCACAAGGGTAGGTGGTTCTGACGTTCCCTGAAGAGACCGGGAGCTCTGTAGCATCCAAACCCCGGTAGTATGTTGACATGGGCTTGTGAGGCAGGCGTCTCACCGTAAAACACCGGGATTTCATCTCGCCCACTCAAAGCTTGGCGGGTGCTAGCGGGTGCAGCTGGGTGAACACCCAAAGCATGAGCGGGGTAGACATACGAAGTGGGCTCCTGGGGTATTAAATGGGGGACCTGTGATGCGTTGCTGTGACCCACGGCTCTTCCCGCGACGATGGCTGGCACCGGACATTCTCGCTTCTAGTTGCAGCTATCACTTCTTCTAGGACGGAGATACGACTTAGAGCAGCGACAAGCATATCATGAACATCTGGTGGTGCTGTAGCTCGAGGCTCGCCACTATTTTGCGGTTCTCCTTGTACGGGTGCATCCCCACCAGAGGCTTCCTCGACAGCCGGCGGGCCAGTAGGCGTCGTGGCACGTGACGAAGGAACGGAGCCCCTGTTGGAGTTTCTACACACCATTTTGCGAGTTACCCTCTCCACTGCTTTTCTAAGAGCACGATCTGATACACGGGTACGAGCAGGGAGCGGCCGCAGTTCGTAGGCGTGAATAGACACCCGGCCCTGTTTCTCCGCAGCAGGAAACCAGATCGTCGCACCTTGGTCGCGTCACTGTGGTAGATGGGCTGCAATACAAGCACACTCATGCACCCACTCACTAGATCCAGGGCGCA